GAGACACGAATAATAGTTAATGGTGCCATCTTTCTATGTGCATCTTAGGAAGCAAATTTAATAATACAAGTAAAGTTTTAGTTTCCAACAAAGGGCTATTTTTCATAGGCAATTTGAATTGGGGATGGGAACAGAGTTTCTATGCCCTCTTCTGTACTCATTGTCTCACCCTCTTTTTTTTTTTCAGTTTTGAGATATAATTGACATAGAGCACTGTACAAGTTTAAGGTGTACAGCATAATGATTTGACTTCATGCAGCATGAAGTGAACATCACAGTAAGTTTAGTTAATCCATCATCTCATACAGATACAGAATTAAAGAAATAGAAGCAATGTTTTTCCTTGTGATAACTCTTAGGGTTTACTCTCGTAACAACTTTCGTATATAACGTACAGTAGTGTCAATTGTATTTACCATGTACGTTACATCCCGAGTACTTACTTATCTTGTAACTGGAAGTTTGACTCTCTTCATCCAATTCCCTCTCCCTTTCATTTCTTGCCTCTGGTAACCACAAATCTGATCTCTTTTTTTTAATGAGTTTTTTGTTTGTTTGTTTTTGAAGTATAATTGACCTACAACACTATGTTATTTCTTGGTGTACAACATAGTGATTTAATATTTCTGTCCATTTGAAAATGATCACTATGATGTCCAGTTGTCATCTGTCACCAGACAAAACTATTACATAATTATTGACTGTATACCCCGCACTGTACATTTCATATCTGTGACTCATTTATTTTATAACTGGGAAGTTTGTACTTCTTAATTTCCCTCAACTATTTCTTTCCTCTCTTTGTCCTCCCCGCCTCTGGCAACCAGCTGTTTCTTCTCTGTACCTATGACTCTGTTTCCTTTTTTTTTTCTTTTTAAAGTTTGTTCATTCATTTGTTTTGTTTTTCAGATTCCACATATAGGTGAGATCATACCGTATTTGTCATTCTCTGTCTGACTTATTTCCCTTAGCATAATACCATCTAGGTCCATCCATGTTAGTTTCCCACTCCCTTATGTGATTCCATCGGAAACACAGTGCCTAAAGTCTCAGTATCAGACAAAAACCAATCACAATATTTCGACTAGATTCCTTTCCTCCCACCTCTCCTGACCTGACTGTGGGTCCTTTTCTCCCTGTTCTGAAGATCATTTGAGACAATCCTCTTCTTACCCCACAGAGGAACGTGTTCTGCAATGTTCCTATTGTGAAAATATAAAATAAAGTAAAAACCATAGCACTGTGAACTGCTCTTTCACTTCATGCTGGGCTTCACAAAGTGTGTTACAACCATTAACTGCTCTCACTTCTCCAAGGCATCTTTGAGATTTGGTACCGTTACGAGCATTTTCTAAAATCAGAAATGGGGACTTAGGGAAGACAAGTGGACTCCAAGGAACGTGTGCTCAGAATATGCTAACGTGAACAATTAGCTTCTTTAATAGTGACCGCTGTGGTGCTGGCCTCAGGTTCAGTGCAACAAGATTGTGAACGTCTATCACAGATGGTGGTGGGAGCCAAGCCACGGTTTCATCATCACAGAGCACAGAATCGTCCTTGCTCTGCTTTGAATCATCCCTCCCCCTTGGAAGGAAGAGTTGCTTCTAAGCTTTAGGGCTATCAGCTCCCTCCAACCTCAGCCCAAACACAGGGACTTGGAAAGACGAGGAAGAGGAAGGAAGGAAGAGGATGAGGAAGCCGTGAGGGTGGGAGGGAGAGCCTGGCCTCAGGGAGGGGAATGGAACGGGCTTCCAAGTGAGAGGGTAAAGGTGCATTTTACTGACAGTGAGGAAGTCTCTTCTGTTTCCCTGTCCCTCATCTTCCAATCCTTCATTAAAGCCTGATACTTCAACCTTGAAAACATACCCTAACTCTGCACCTTTCCTTCTGCTCCGTTGCTATTCACCTTATTCCATGCCTCTGGGACTTGACCTGGATAGCACGAGTTCCTGACTGTCCCCACAGTCCTTCCCCAGCAGCCGGGCCGATCTTTAGGTCACATTATTATAATATTTAACATGCTCTGTTTATATCTGATAGCAAATTACTCTTTACCTGCATCTGTACGAGTACAAAGCATCTGAGCCTCATTAACCTCTATCATTAATGCTCATGGTAAAAATGCTCTTATTCTGCTAGACTTTTATTTTTCTAACATGACAAATCTATATTCGCGTCATGCCCTTTGAATGCTCTCTCCCTTTCTCTCTACTGGATGACTATCCCCTTCGTTTCTGCATGAGCAGCCGCTTCTCATCTTGTTCAGCATTCATTTCTTCACTGGGGCTCTTCTGGCCACTGGGCAGAATCACTTCTATGAACTCATCAAGACCCACTACAGATGACCCTCCACATGGATGCGAAACCCACAGATATGGAGGCCCAGCTGTACCATCCCCTTTTTAACAAGGGACTTGAGCATTCATGGATTTTGGTCTCCTGGAAGACACTGATGGCAACTTATCACCTGGAAAAATAATTTTGTTAGTTAATTTTCTTCCCAGCAGAATAGACACTAGAAGGGCAGACGTGTATCTTTGTTTACATTGCATCTTCATGACCTTAGAACTCTTCCTGGAACATGATATCTGCACAATAGTAATCTACTGCATTAATGAATGATGAATGAATGAACGAATGAATGAATGAATGGTGGGAGAGGGGATGAAGACACAAGGCAGAGAGAGATGGGGCAGCTGCGTGACCAACCCCTCTACTGTAGGGTGTTAGAGATGCTGTATCCATGTCTGGGAAGAGACATATGATCTGGTAACAAAGGCAAGGAAGGTTCATTGCCTCTTTTTTCATAGCAAATGTGACTCCAGCCTTGTGGTATCCCACCTCCTCCGTTTGTTACTCCGAGGAAAAATGACCTCATTTCATCGCACTCTTTATTCACCTAAAGTCAGGGGATTCTGTTGAGCACTGGAATTTCCCAAACCCAGTGTCTCCATGCAATAGCTTGAGTCAACAGAGCCAACTAGGGGAGCAAAACCTCCAGGGGCTTCTCCAGAGAAGATGCTCAAATGCAGCTGCTGTAGGTAGTATTACCAAGAGCAAGAATGACTGACCATATGGAGGGGGGAGGAATGGAAATGACTATTTATCTAGGTCTGGAAGAGGAGCTGAAAAAAATAGGAGGTCAGGAATCCTAGACTGAAGGGCAGAGGTGCGGATCTGATGACAGGCCACCTGTGTTCTTTTGTGAGTCAGGTGTTGCAGAAGCCCACCCTGTCCCCCGATGTCTTGAATGCCGCACTTGACCACAGTTTGCAAGGAGCTGTCTCTTCCTGTTCCTCTTTGATTCTTGAGTGCAGCCTTGCGATGGAAGCAGAATAGGGACCCTCATTCTCCACTCCTTTTTCTGTGGGTCTCCATTTGCCTAGTCCTGGAGCCTATGCCCTTTCCTGGCCTGAATGTGAATAAGCCACTGATTCACCCTTGGGAGAGATCTCAATTCCATGTCTCCTTCCTCACCTTCTGCCACCAGATGGCCAGCTGCTCCCTTCTCCGGGACATACAAGTGCCAGGAAAGAGTTTCACCTCTTCTCAGGCAGTACTAGAATCTGCCCATACACGACCTGAACAACCGATCTCATTCCACATTAGACTCAAACTCTGGATCCACCCCTGGGATAACCATTAATACCTGAAGATTGGATACACTTATTTAAGAAAAATGAACTCTGAGGCTAAAATTTGCTTTTTTCTCTTGGTCTCATCACAATTATGGTATTTTCTTCTTTCTTTTCATTTTTATACCACATAGTTCACTTCTACAATAATATTTATGATTCTTAAGTCAGAATCAAATATATTTTTTTGTACTTACTGGGGGCTCTCTTTGCCTCCTGGTATCGAAATAGGCAGCCACAACGGGAAGCCTTCGCTTCTTGACTTAAGAGAAGGAAAAGTCTGCACAAATTCATGACACAAGGAGCCTCTTATCCTCATGTCTATTTCCCACAAATCTCGCATTAGAAGAAGAGGAAGTCTCTAGATCGGAATGTAACGACATGACAGCAGAAGGGCGCAAGAAGACACACAGAGCCATGTAGGTGATTCTGTAACATTTATTGCACTCTGCACAAGGAGCTTCAGCTCAGCAAAGCTTAAAGGGGGCTGGGGTTGGTGCGATGAGGACCGATGCTGATATCTGGGGCAGATAGTGGGATGGGACCATGGCTGTGACCGTGGAGCCTGGCAGAAGAGCGTGACCAAAAGTGCTGACCCAAAGTTTAGATGATGTTATCCAAGTGAACTGGAACCAACGGGTCCGTGGCATTGTCCTGCGGTGATCTTTGGTCACAGGCAACAGTGTAGATCTTCTGCATCTTCATCTGACTATACTTGCATCTCATGTAATTCAAATTACTTTTTGTGAGGTTGCAGAAGGTTAAAGGCACTGGACGTGGGCTCTTATGACAATTCATCCTTCCATTTCGGCAAGATACATTTCTAGTGGTACAAACTTGAGCTACCTGAGCAAATGTTGTATTGAGAAAAGTATTTTTACCTTTGCATACCCCTCTATAACTGTTAACTACCTGCATTGCAAGATCACACTGAATTTTCGCCGTATTTATGTGCTGAATCTCAAACCACCGAGCCCAGGTTAAATTTGGGGGTTGGGCATGGAGTGAGATCACCATTCCCAAGAGCCCCAGTAGCAAAAGGGGACAAAGCCGGGAGTCTTGCTGTGTCGGAACCATGTCTCCTGTGAAAAGAAGAGTATATTTTGCATCCCAGTCCAGCAATAACACACTTCCCCCATCTCTCACCCTGCACGGTCCCCTGCTGTCACTGTGGGGTTCTGTCTCCTCACCCCTCTGCTCCCCAAAGTCTGCCTCGTGTCCTGGGCACTAACTCCAGCTCACCACTCCCACAGTTGCTGCCCCATTGCTGTCCATCCAGTCCCAGCTCTAGGGCTCAGTGTCTTACCCAGTCTCTATGCTCTGGCTCCTGGCGCTGGTGGTCCTGGTGCTCCAAGGCAGCGAGTCTCCCCCGATCCTTGGGACTAGAGATATAGAGCAGCCTCTGTGGGTGGGGCCGGCAGAACCAGGAAGGTTTTGAGTTCAGGATATGAAGAAATCTACAGACTGGCCCGGGGCCCACTTAGGCGACGAGCTTCTTTGTTTTGCCGTGTGCCGATCACTGCATACCCGAGGACAGCACCACTGCTGCTTCTGTTGTAACAAACCTAACTTCAGGCATCCTGGGCAGGGCGGAGCTCTGCCACTGGGTCTGGACTTCCTAAGTGAAAAATGCCATTGACTGCAGAGTGGCCACAGATTTTATGTGTCAACTTGGGGCAAGACACTGAAAGACTGAAGTACAGAAAGGGAGGCTCAGTACTCAGAACAAATCGAGCCAGGGAGAGTTGTTTGGGCAGGAGGAACCCAGGTCCCCTTTGCATTTTAGTAACCTTGGTTCCCTCTCACCCAAATGTTCTTTATCTCATCACCTCCTTGTGCTGAAAACGTGAGCTCTGAATTTCTCACTGCTCAAAATCCTGCAAGTAAGTAAAGGCGTCTGTGATGTATCTGTGAGTTTCTGTTACTGTTGTTGTCAATGTTTTTTCTGCTCCCCATCCATTGAATTCATTTTCTCTTGTTTGCACCCTGGCTGGTTTTGGCTTCCCTTCCTGTGAAGTAACATAACCCCAAAATGCCCCGAGGAAAGTCTTTCTGTAAAATGTGCCGGAGAATGAACATGGTGTCATGTAAACGATTCCAACGTGGAGCTAGCATTGCTAGTGTTCTTTTGAATCTGTGTTATTTTCTCCAAAACAGTCTGCCCTCGAATTGTCATTTGTCTTCCCAGTAGATTTCATTTCTTGATGCTAACAGGAAAAACATTGTTTTAATTTATAAAATGAACATTAATGGATAGGACATTATATTCTTATTTGCTTGTTTTTATTTTTCCTGGGGGAGGTAATTAGTCTACTTGTTTATTATTCCTTTTTTTACTTAACCGGAGGTACTGGGGATTGAACCCATAACCTCATGCATGCTAGGCATGCACCCTAGCACTGAGCTATACCTACCCTCTCCTCTCTGCAATGCGTTAATGTCTTTTATCAGGAAGCAAGTTTTTTTTAATGTCTATTTTGTGGAAAGCATTTTCATAAGAGATGAGGATGTAAAAATGAATTAGATGTAGTTTAACCCTTCTGCGATGCCGACAGCCACACTGAGTAGAAGGACTCGTACTCAAGTGTCTGTACCGTGAACTAAAAATCATACACTGTGGTCACAGGTGCTGCATCTGCCTTGAAAACCTGTTCTTAGTCACCGTACACGGTGTCACTTGTAATACTGGGTTTTGGATATTAACACTTCAAATTGGGATAGTTCACGTAAAACTTTGCATACCTGTCTTACCTTTAAAAATCGGGAGATGTCGGTTGGTGCACTGAGTCCCCAGTACCACAAGGGATCAACTGGAGCTGAGCGGCTGCCGCCTCTGTTGAAGGCGGCAATAGTTCAGAGGTTTTCACGGACTCTACTCCTACCTCCTTATCATGTCCTGTCTGTTCACTCAGATACTGCCCAGCAGGCTTGTTACAAGTGTCCTGGGAAGTGACCCCCACAATATCATGCCCAACCTGCAATCATGTTCCACCTTTAAAATTGTATTCGGAGTTTGCCTTCTATGATTTTCCTGATGGGTTCGTCCATAAGTTTCCTCTATGCATTTTCTTTTATTATTATTTTTGATTGAAGTGCAGTCAATTTACGTTCGTTTCAGGTGTACAGCAAAGCAGTTCAGCCATACATATATATATATACATACATATGTATTTTTTCAGTTTCTTTTCCGTTACAGCTCGTTATAAAAAAAACTGAATATAGTTCCCTGTGCTGTATGGAAGCCCTTGCTGCCTGTCCACTTCACATATAGCAGTGCATATCCGCCAGTCCCAGACTCCCAATCTATCCCTCCCCTCTTTCCCCGCTGGTAACCACAGTTTGTTTTCTATGTCCAAGAGTCTATTTCTGGTTTGTAAATAATATTTGTATCTTTTTTTAAGCTTCCTCATGTAAGTCACATCATATGATATTTGTCTCCCACTACACATTTTCAACTTCCCTTCTTTGTCTACAGGTCTAGTACAAATGATCTAGTTTGATATTTAAGACCTTTCGGAGAGGACTTCTAGATATGAAGCAGGAATGAATATAAGCCTATGTTAATCAAAATACACTGTAACTTCAGTGTGATTTTGTCTTGAATAGACAAAAGCCACTTCTCTTGGGCTCATTCTGTTATTTTGTTCACATGACTTCCCTTGCAGCCCAGTTTAGTGGCACGTTTCTGGACCTGATCCATACTCCCTCAGAGGAATAGCCAGAAATTAGCCCTAGTATCATCAAATCATTTTTTGAAATCCAGGAATATCGTAAGATACCGAGCCAGACAAAAACTTCTGCATTTGTGGTAAAAACTACTGTTGAGAACACTGGTCTCAGGGTTGATCAGTATCTCTTTTTACAGAGCCTATATGCAAAAGCATGATGTCCAACGGCTGCAATTTCTTCAGCCCGGGGTATTCTTGCAATGTCTGTTCTTACCCTGCTGATAGGGTGATAGATGCCAACTGCCCGAACCTACCTACGCATGGCTTCCTAATGCAGCAGGTGTCTGTGGGACCAGCAACGCACACAGACCATTGCAATAACATGGTTCAGGTTAACTGCAGTAAATGGAGTGAGATTCAGCTAACCTAAGTTCAAAAAACATTTGATGTGCTGGGCTCTCCCTGGTCTCTTGGAGTCAGCAAGGTGGCCCTAGGCCTGACTTCTTGCATGGGAGCACCCCCTTATCTCCCTCAAAGAGTATTGAACAAAAGCAGGACTTGATCTCTTTGATCACATTTTTGACATGAAAAAGGAAGGGACCCTTCTCTTTCTCACTTTTATAACATGTTCTTCCCCTCCCTGGAGAGGGGAGTAAGAGAGCTCGGATGGGATTATGGAGAGGTAAGTCTGAAGAGGGATGGTACAAAATGTTCTCTGAGAAATTGGAAAACTGCGTTCAAGTGAAATTGACCCATTGCATATTGAGCACGTGGAGGCGTTCACTGAGATCTCTTACTTCAACATGTATAAACGAAAATGTACACACAGAAAATCACACACGGACTCGTACACACAAGTAACGCTTAATTAGGGAGTGAGCGACGGAGAATGACTGAGCTGAAAGAGATCTTTAGTCTAAACCTTCGCTTTAGAGGTGAGCAGTAGGATGAGGTGACTTGCCCACCTTCAATAGCAAGCTTGGGACAGACAGGCACCAAACTGCAGGTCTCTTTCTTTATGTTTGTGGTGATGTCATAGGCACTCTGTGTGATGCTGGTAAACACTCTAGGTGTGAAATAGTACACAAGAAATCAGTCCTTAATCTGTTTAAGATCATTGACAGACCTGAGAGTTTCCTTTGTGGCCTTCACCCTAAGGTCTGGGGAGAAAATATCCGCAATGTGATTCCTGCAGGATTAGAGAAAGGATGGAAGGCAACGGAGGTTCCATTTCTGCTAGGAATATCCACCGCTGAAAGGGACGTAGCTATCTCTGTGGACGTCACCTGCTCTGCAAAAGCCCTTCCCTTGGACTCCCAGGTATTCAAAAAAGGAGCCAGAATATTAGAGCCAGAGGTAGGAACCTGACACTCAATCTTTACTTAGAGTCCCTGGGCACCCGTAGGGAAGTTTCCTGATGCCCAGCCCTACACATGGATGAGCTGGGAATCTTTATTCTGAGGCAGAGAAAAATGTAGGGGAAGCATGAAGTTTGCTCCTGTAGAATTGAAATGCACCTTTTTTTTGGAATTTATTACAGTTTTTTAAGTTTACTTTTTGTTGAAGTGTATTTGATTTACAGCGTTAGTTTCAGGTGTACAGCAAAGTGATTGGTTATACATACATACACATATGTATTTTCTTTTCATATTCTTTTCCATTATATGTTATTACAAGGTATTGAATACACTTCCCTGTGCTATACAGTAGGTCCTTGTTGTTCATCTATTTTATATATAGTAACATGTATTTGTTGCTTCAAATGGTATTATTTCATTCTTTTCTATGGCTGAGTAGTTTTGGAAATTAGTCCCTTGTCCGTCGCATTTTTTTAGATTCCACAGATAAGTGATATTATACGATATCTGTCTTTCTCTGTCTGACTTACTTCACTTAATATGATATTCTCTAGGTCCATCCATGTTGCTGCAAATGGCATTATTTCATAATTTTTTATGGCTGAATAATGTTCTATTATATATGTATACCACATCTTTATCCCGTCATCTGTTGATGGTCATTTAGGCTGTCTCCATGTCTTGGCTATTGTAAATCATGCTGCTATGAACATTGGGGTGCATGTGTCTTTTCAGATTATAGTTTTCTTCAGATATATGCTCAGGAGTGGGATTGCTGGGTCATATGATAAATCTATTTTTAGTTTTTTAGGGAACTTCCATACTGTCCTCCATAGTGGCTGCACAAATTTACATTCCCACCAACAGTGTAGGGAGGTCCTTTTTCTCTACACCCCCTCCAGCATTTATTATTTGTAGACTCTTGAAAAACACCTTTATTATGGTATGATTCTTGTACAGTAAACTCCATATTTGAGATGAACAATCTGATGAGTTTTGATAGATGTGTACACCAATGAAGCCACCACCACAAGCAACATAACTAACATGTCTATCACTCCCCAAGAGGTGCAAATTTTAAATTCCCAATTTATCCCTTCCTACCCCCTTTCCTCCCTGGTAACCATGTTTATTCTCTATGTCTGTGAATCTGTTTCTGTTTTGTAGAAAAGTTCATTTGTGTCCTTTTTAAAAAAAATCCATATATAAGTGATATCATATGATATTTTTCTTTCTCTTTCTGACTTACTTCACTTAATATGATTATCCCTAGGTCCATCCATGCTGCTGCAAATGACATTATTCTACTCTTTTTTTATGACTGAGTAGTTTTCCATATACTTCTTTATCCAATCATCTATTGATAAACATTTGGGTTGTTTCTATGTCTTGGCTATTGTAAATAGTGCCGCTGTGAACATTGGGGTACATGTGTCTTTTCAAATTATATTTTCTTCCAGATATACGCCCAGGAGTGGGATTGCTGGATCATATGGTAAGTCTATTCTTAGTTTTTTGAGGAATCTCCATACTGTCCTCTATAGTGGCTGCACCAATTTACATTCCCACCAACAGTGTAGGAGGGTTCCCTTTTCTCCACACTCTCTTCAGCATTTATCATTTGTGGACTTTTTAGTGATGGCCATTCCGATTGATGTGAGGTGATATCTCATTGTCGTTTTGATTTGCATTTCTCTGACATTAGTGATGCTGAGCACCTTTACATGTGCTTGTTGGCCATCTGGATGTCTTCTTTGGAGAAATGTCTATTTAGGTATTCTGCCCATTTTTTGATTGGGTTGCTTGTTTTTTTGATATTAAGGTGTATGAGCTGTTTGTATATTTTGGAAATTAGTCCCTTGTTGATCACATCATTTGCAAATATTTTCTCCCATTCTGTAGGTTGTCTTTTTGTTTTGTTAACTAGATCCCATGTATTTAGTTTTTGCTTTTATTTCCATTACTCCAGGAGCTGGTTAGAAAAAAATATTACTGCAATTTATGTCAAAGAGTGCTCTGCCCTTGTCGTCCTCTAGGAGTTTAATACTATCCGGTCTTATATTTAGTTCTTTAATCAATTTTGACTTTATTTTTGTATATGGTGTTAGAAAATGCTCTAATTTCATTCTTTTAGATGTAGCTGTCCAATTTTCCCAGCATCACTTATTGAAGTGATTGTCTTTTCTCCATTGTATATCCTTGCCTCCTCTTGTTGTAGATTCTCCTGTTTTCTTCTTAACTGTGTTTAAAACAGGCATATGTATTTAAGGAAGCGGAAATATTTTCTAAGATGCGAGGCATATGGATTTGTCAGTTCCCTTCGGGGCTCACCCATTGTAGAAAGAGTCTGGCAGAGACACCTGCCTCACTCACAGGCTGATAGAGGTAAACACTTTAGAGATGTCAGTTTTTAGGTTAACTGCTCAAGTAAGAGGCAAGAACAGCTTTGGAGTTTGAAAATACCTTTGTATGACAGGCTCATAAAGGGTGAGGGGGTGGTAGGCACCTCATTTATTGGCAAATCCTTCTCTCCTCACATCTTATCCAGAGAAAAGAAGGGATGTGAGTTGGAAGGAGGATGGAAGAACAGCAGTTGCCATGACTACAAGAAGAATAAGTGTAGGTAGAGGGCAGAGGGGACATTAAGTGTTTGGACCAAGAGTTCTTAGAATTAAGTATCTTGGGGGATGGGGACCTTGGCCCACTCCCTGACCCCACTCTTCCTTGACCTGCTTTCACAGGGAACATGAATCTGACATGGACCCTTCTTCTCCTCCTCCTCCTGGAGCAAACTGTCTTCACTCCAGGCCTGCCATTCTCAAGACGACGTATAGACAGCTCCACATCATGGGTCCCTGGGGGACACCACCGATACTGTGACGTGATGATGAGGCGACGGTGGCTGATCCACAGGGATAAATGCAAGCAGATCAACACCTTTATTCATGAGGACCTGGCCACCGTAGCAGCCTTCTGTAACACTCCAGCGGTGCCCTGCACCAGCAGCCGCTCCTTGCACAGCTGCCACAACAGTACTCATGACGTCAGTGTCACCGACTGCTTTGCCAGAGCAGGGACCCGGCCCCCCTACTGCCACTACCACAAGAAGGACTCCACCAGGCCCATCCGTGTGGGCTGTGAGGAGGGGGAACCTGTTCATCTGGACGGCTAGGCTCCTCCGAGCCCTGACATGTAATGCCAAGGAATTGCACCCTACATCTTAAAGTCTTTGAGACTTTGCCAAAGTCTTCCCTGTAAGTGCTTCTTCTCTGGTGTATGGCTCGCTTACTGTTTTCAGTCATCTCTCTTACAGCCTCTCCCCTAACGCTAACTCCACAGCCCACCCCGCACTTCTGACACGGTGTCGGTTTTTTGGATGCAAGACAAGATGGGGATGGGGATGTCAGAGAATAAAGCCCTCTCAAGGGGCTTCTATTCTGGAAAAGCCTTGCTCCCATCTAGCAACTACACAAGCCGGTGATTTACCCAAGAGCTTCTCCAATAAGAACTCTCGCCTGGTTCGCAGGGTCCTCCTGCTGGACTTTCAGCTCCTTTCTCCCCAATGGGCTCCTGCGGAGGGGATTTGGGACGACACCCCAAATCCCCAGAGGGATGTCCTTAATTTCCTTAATAGAAACAAGGCCCTAAGGCGCAGAGCACGGCACCGGAAGGAGCAGCTACCCGGAGGAGAGGTGGCAGAGCGGGTGACTCTACACCTCGTGGTCCCCTCCGCGTCTCCCGCACCGGCCCGCAGGGGGCGCTGCGCCATCTGAATCCCCTCGGCCAAGCGGAGAGCAGACCGTCTTCCTGGGTTCCCCTTAAGACAGCGGGAAATGGGTTGGAAGTTTCTTAATTATCATCACGAGGCTGGAAGATAATAGATGAATAAACAGAAAATTCAGCCAGCATAAATACAGCCAACTTTCAAAGACCAGATTTCTGAGTTTACCAAAACATTCATGCTTTCGTGCTCTTTAGTATTAACAAGCCACCTTCAGATTCACACTCTAGCATCGCAGGTATGAATGAAAGGGAGTGAGATATGTGCAGAGCACTTTCTTGTGTTATAAGCTTTGCAGTTTGGTTGCACTGGAAATGAGCCTATTTCTTTCTTGGAATCCACTCCCTTCTGAAGAAAGTTTGTCTACCCACAAGAGGGAGCAGCCATAGGTGACCGAATTCTCTACTCGGAGACTCCATCAAAATGATGGCAGGACTTTGAATCAAAAGGGGGCACCTGACTCTTAGGGCAGCTATCCATTGACTGACTGGCCAAGTGCCCATGGAGTAAACCGGTGTGGGGATTTTACCCTCCTGCAACAATGGTGACAAAACTGGGACTCTTAACTTTCATCTTTTCCCCTGATGCCAGGAGCTGTAGTCGTGTTGTCTTTATTTGTGACCTTCAGCACTTAGCCTAATGCTTGCTATAAAAGTGCTTCCAATAAATCTTTCAAGGGCCGTTGTGGTAGACCCGCTGGTGCTATGGAGTTTTGGTAGATTCCTATTTAAAGGATAAAAAAGCTTCCTTCCCTTCTACTCTTGGTTTCCACTCTTGAGTGGATTGTGAATCTTACTGATTTTTTTTTCTGCATCTAATGATATAATTATATAGTATTTCTCTCCTAATTCATAAATGGGGTGAATTGTAGTAACTGATTTTAGATATTAAACCAACTTTGGTATAAACTCATTTTGGTTACGCTAAATTATCTTTTTTTTATATAACTGAATTCAGTTTGCTAATATTTAAGGATTTTTTTTTGCATTTATGTTTATGAATGAAATTGGTCTGAAATTTCTTTTTTTGCTATTACCATGTTTGATTTTGGTATCCAGATTATATATTAGCCTTCAGAAATGAGTTAAGGAATAGTCCTTCTCTATTTTCTGTAATTGGAATTATATGTTATTTTATTATTTACTGAACTCATCTGTAAGGCTATCTGGCCCTGACATTTTCTTTGAGACTATTTTTAACTTCTGTTTCAATTTTTTTAACGATTACAGTTATGCTGAGTTTTCTAGTTCTTTTTTAATTGAAGTATACTTGATTTACAATATTATATTAGTTTTAGGTGTGCAGTATAGTGATTCAGTATTTTGCAGATCACACTCCATTGTAGGTTACTACAAGATAATGGCTGCAATTCGCTGTGCTGTACAGTATATCCCTGTTGCTTGTCTATTTTATACACAGTAGTTGGAATCTGTTTATTCCATACCCCTAATTTGTACTTACCTCTTTCCTTTTCACCTCGGTAGTAACCACAAGTTATTTTTCTATATCTGTGAGTCTGTTTCTGTTTTGCATATACATTTGTCTGTATTATGTTTTAGATTCCATACATAAGTGATATTCTTAGATCTTCTTGAGATAACTTTGACAGGTTGTTTTTTTCCCATAGGAATTTATCCATTTCATCTGAAGTGTTTCAATATATTGGCACAAAATTAATCACATTCTTTTAAAATATTTGCAGCATCTGTTTTTACATCTTATTTCTATTCTGACATTTTATTTGTATCATTTAAAATTGATAAAACTTATGAGAAATGCCTATTTTATTAGATTTATTAAATGGACTATTTCAGACATACAAGAGCTAAAGGAATTAGCTTTTAATTTTTTATAGTAATCGTTATAATCTTCATATATGAAAAGCTTCATAATCTTTAATGAAGAAGGAAGTCCTTCAGGAAGAGGAAAAAGGACACCAGGTGGAAACAGGAACCTACACAAAAATGAAGACATTGGAAGTTGTAATTACATGACAGTATGCGTAACTCCTGGGAATAGTGCGTGGAAAAAGCTTTGGAAATTTTGAGTTATAACTCTAAAATGCCGCATTTTGTTCTCCACGAAGGAATATGTTTATTTTCTAAAGCAGAAGCCCCAATAACATAATTTATTTACCCTTCTTATAAATGTCAAATTGTAAAACTGCCTCCAAATTAAAAATAAAATTCTTGTTTAAAATTTCTCTCCTCGGATATCTGAAATTTCTTTTCCATATAAGTCACATTTCTTTATTTCTAGCTGCCCAAATGATTTTTTTCTTATTCATTAATTTCATCATTTCACTAAACTACATCTTGGTATTGGTTGTTTTACATCGATATTCCCAGGTATGTGGTATTCACTTTCAATTTGCACTTGCAAATCTCTTTTTAAAACTTCAGTTGCTTTATTGAATTATAGCTTTTAGTATTTGTTTCCATCTTTGGGGGTGTTTTACCTTCAGGAATTCCCATCATCCATATATTAAATATTCTTTGCTATCTTCAATACTTCTTTCTTTCATTGCTCAATCTTTGCTCAAGATTTTGATAAAGACTGTATTGAATATATATATCACTTTGGATAGTATAGACAGTTTAACAGTATTAATTCTTCCAATTCATGAACACAGGATGATGTCTTCCATTTAGTTGTATCTGCTTTAGTTTTTAAATCAGTATGTTATGGTTTTCAGTGTACAAGTCTTTCACCTCCTTAGTTAGGTTTATTCCTAAGTATTTCATTCTTTTTAGTGCTACCATAAATGGGACTGTTTTCTTAATTTCCTTTTCTGATAGTTTGTTGTTAGTGTATAGAAATGCAACTGAGTTTCATACATTGATTTTGCATTTTGCAACTTCACTGAATTTATTAGTGGTAGCAGTTTTTTCTTTTTGTGGAGTGTTTAGGGTTTTCTACATATAAGGTCATGTCATCTGCAAACAGATAATTTTACTCCTTCCTTTCTATATATCTGATAAGAGGTTAATTTCCAAAATATATAAGGAACTCTGACAACTCAATGGCAATAATAATAATAATAATAATAATAATAATAATAATAATAATAATAATAGTAAATCTAATTTTTAAATGGGCAAAAGACTTGAATAGACATTACTCCAAAGAAGACATACAAGTGGCCAACAGGTACTGAGATATTACTTCACACCTGTTAGAATGGCTGTTATCAAAAAGCTAAGAGATAGCAAGTGCTGAAGAAGTTGTGGAGAAATTCGAACCCCAACAAGTTCCTGCTGTTTAGCACAGGGGGCTATATCCGGTATCTTGTAGTAACTTACGGTGAAGAAGAATATGAAAATGAATATATGTATGCTTACGTATGACTGAAGCATTGTGCTGTACACCAGAAATTGATACAACATTGTAAACTGATAATACTTCAAAAATATATATATATATAAAAAAAAGAAATTGGAACCCCTGTACTCTGTAGTGGGAACATAAAATGGTGCAGCCACTGTGGAAAACAGTATGGAAGTTCCACAAAAAATTTAAAATATGATTCAGCAATCCCCCTCTGAATATATATCCAAAAGAGTTGAAGTCAACATATCCAAGAGATATTTGCCTGCCCATGTTCACTGCAGCATTATTCACAATGGCCAAGATATGGAAACAAGCAGAATGTTCATATACACACAATAGAGTATTATTCAGCCTTAAAAAGGAAATCCTACTATTTGGACCTGGTGGTGCGTGGAGGCAGATGACTGGCCACATCTCCTGAGTCGAGTCCACAGGACTTGGAGGCTCCCTAGGACTGGGTGTCTCTTTGAACCCCCATCACCAGGAGTAGAGACCATGCTCAGAAATGTTTGATTGATGAAGGGAGGGATGTGTTGTACATCTGACCCAGCACAGTGAGTTTGCTCAAAGTCATTAAATATGTAAGTCAGAATATTCTATCGATTATATGTTATCTTTCTGTTCTGTATCTCAGTGATCACCTGCCTATGTTCCCTGCTTTGAACTCTGTTGTCCTCTAGGACTGGAGCCATGTCTGCAAGCCCAGACATTCAAATGTCTCACCCGTGCTCTCCCCATCAGAGCTGGCTCCTGTTTCCCAGACCCTCCAGCTGCCGACTGGAGCCTTCTCGCCACAGTTTACTGCAAACATTACCGTGGCGCCCACCTGACTTTGAGTGTCAGCCAGTGCTTGGAACCCCCAGGAGTTCCTGCCTTCCCATTGGGTTGGTTCTTCTAGAATTCTGACATCAGTCTGAATCAACCAGACATTTTACTCTGGATTCCTGGCCCCTTTCCTTGGGAACCAGCCCTTTGGCCAGCTTGGTATATCCTGACAAAACCCGGCTGCTTCTTTTACTCAGTGGACTATCTCAGGGGTTTCCATGTGACCAATAGTCAAATAGAGACATGACAGAGGGACAGCTGGCAGATGCATCTGTGAATATCTTAGGTATCCAAACGAATCCCCGGGGAACTGGTGTTGTGACACAACGTTTGATTCCAAGCCACAGTAATGCGCAGCTACTATGATTAAGAGAGCTTTACAGAGAGGGCTGTCTTAAAAAGTCAGTAGACCCATCCAGGGGAGTTATGATGGAACCATCACATCCATTTGGTTTGCATTTCTTTTCTTCTTCTGGATAGTGCATCTCAAAGGTCTTTAATTCCCCATTATCTTAGATGATCAATATTGCAAGAACAAAGCTTCCACAAGGTGCTTGAAGGGGAGAGAAAGGGATTGAGCAATTTAACTGATTCGCATTAGTTAATGGTTACAGAATAATTAATTATTTTTAAAAAGAATTATTAAAACCATTGCTAAGGCCATTCGGAGGAGGTAAAATTTAATAAAACTATTTCTCCCTTTGACCTTTATTTCTTTTCCTTTTCATTCTCCTGTCAGTGACGTGTAAGGATCTCTAATCACCTTGTATCTTAGAAAACCAGTACTGCAGGAACACTAGTCTTACTGGTTGCTCTGTTGGGGAGAAAGTGTAGTTTCTATGGATTAAGAAAGGTTTAAGAAGTCTGTTTATCATAGTTGGTTCTAAAATATTTTCATGTTAGAACATGAAAAGCTCTCTTTTAATTCTATTTAACTTTACTTTGCTTTTTATCTCCAAATGTCTGGGCTCTGGAAACCCTTTTCCCCATGACTCCTGATAAACTTTGGAAAATGCTCTTGAAATATTTTTGATCTCCTTTGGGTGCTGGAAGTCTTTACCTTCTCATGCTTGCTCTTAAGTGGCAGGGTAATCTGGATGTCACACTAGGCAGTGAACCTGAAAACAGGGAGGACACACGGTTCTAAACAGAACTGATGGTGCCCATAGATCACAAGAGCCTTGCCAGATAGGAGCTTTCAAATGCTGACGGAAAAGTCATGCACAAGGACCCTCAAAAATAACATGAAGCAGCTGCTTGTGGCCCTTTCTCCAGGAGAAGCACGCTAGCTTACCCTCCACTCTTCTCTTGATGGAGGTCTTATGCTTCTTCTGAGATGCTGTTTGTCGGAATGATGGGAAGAGTCTGAACCGTGGAGGCTTGTGAATGAAATTGTAGAATGAAGCTAGCCCGTGTGAAATTTTGTGCAAACTTTCTTTTTTGATGTGCATCTGTTCCCTGATGCCAGTGAGCATTCCAAGTCCAGAAAGCTTCTTTTTCTTCTCTTTATCCTTAGTTTTTTAAATTCTTTTTTTTGGGGGGGGGGCACAGTAATTAGGTTTACTTATTTATTTGATGGAGGTACTGAGGATTGAGCCCAGGACCTCATGTGTGCTAGGCAGGCACTCTCCCACTGAGCTCTCCCCTCCCTTCC